CCAATTACGTGGCATTGAAACTGCATCTTCATAAACAGCGCGGGGCAGCGGTCATATCCTACCGTTGATCTGGTCTGACAACTTCTGCCGTTTGCTGCAGTGTAATTGTCGATACGGTTATGTCTGTCTGCCATTTTGCTATTTGCTTTTGCTTTCTCTTTGTGCTTTGTTCTTCCTGTCTGTCTTCTCGGTTGAGCACCTCAGTGTCCACTCTGCTGCTGGCTGCTCTCGGGCTGCACGGCCGTGCTCGTCCTCGGCTGCCGGGGGCAGGACTGTGCCTTTCCAGCCTAGAGGGCCCTTTCAGCAGCTGTTTCACTACCTGTCGCATTGACGTGTTTTATCTCTCCGATTTCTGTACATATTAAATCTAACATTACATCGTTTTTGCTTTAAACAGATTTTCAGCTTTTATATTGAAATAATTTTAAATTTACATAAAAATTGCAGAAATAGTGCACAGAGCACCCATATACTTCTACCCAGATTCCTCAATTGTTAACCTTTCTGAACCACTTAAGAATAAATGTGGCCTTGGCCGGTGTGACTCAGTTGGCCGGGCCTCGTTCCCTGCATCGAAAGGTTGCAGGTTCAATTTCCCATCAAGGGCACGTGCCTGGGTTGCAGGCTTGATCCCCGGTCTGGGTGTGTGTGGAGGCAGCTGATCCATGTTTTGCTCTCACATCAATGTTTCTCTATTTCTCTCTCCCTCTCCCTTTTTTTCTCTTAAAAATAAATAAATAAATAAATATATAAAAATCTTTAGAAAAAAAGAATAAATTACAGACACGGTGCCCCAGATCCCTTATTATCAGGGTGTTTCCTGGACACAAAGACACACCAACCCGCCTGAGTTAGATGGTCACAACCAGGAGATTAACACCAACCCGCATTGCCATTCGAGTCTCAGGCGGCTCCAGACTTGCTGATTGATGTGACGTACCCTGTTTCTGGTGATGCCTACTGTGATCATTAGTCAGCTTTCTGCATTTTAAAGTTCTTCTTTTTTTTTTTTTATCCTCACCCGAAGACATTTTTTGCATTTATGTTCAGATAGAGTGGGAGGGAGAGAAGGAGGAATAGAGAGAGAAAGAAACATCGGTGTGAGAGAGACACGTTGATTGGTTGCCACCTGCACAACCCCAACCCGGGCCAGGGCAAACCGCAACCGAGGTACGTGCCCTTGGCCGGGATCGAACCCGGGACTCTGGTCAGCGGGCTGACATGTTGTCATGTATCTGCTGTCTCCTGACAAGTCCCTCTGTTCTCGGAGCCCTTGCTTACATTTACTACCGTGACGGCCCAGGCTGATTGGATCCTTTCCTGTCCCAGCCCCGAACCACATACCTGTCCAAGCAACTCTGGCTGCTTTCTGTGGGAGAGGTATTTAGAAACCACGGTCTTGTCCACAGAGGTCCTTGGTACTGCTGTGGTGTGTTATTACCCTGAGGTCCTGGAGCGCATGACCTTGTCTGGGAGGGCTCTTCTGGTACAGTCTACTTGACCATGGGACTAGGGACCTGTTTGGGGCTATTTTTTTCTGGCAATATTTTTTGGAGATCTTTGTTATTGATGTATAGTTTCTTTATCCCTCTTCAGGACTGAAGGGCATTTCCTCCTGTGATAAATGTGATCCACTTAGCAGCCTGTTTGTAGACGGCTGCCATTCTGCTTTAACTAGAATGCAGACTTCACCTTCCACTAGCCTTTCATGTGAATGTCTGTAGCATTAATTCCTGAAAATGCAGTCAGCTTACACGCGCTGGTCACTTAGTCGGTGTTGACAAACTGTCCCCACAGCAGTGAACGGCGAGAACGCAGGTCTGCCAGCAGCCTGGCCCACATAGCACAGCACCGACTGTGGGTGTTGACGGCATTTGCTGATAATTTTGGATTTTATTTTCCAAAATGAACTTAAAATTTTTTTCTTATTAAAAAATACATTTACATCTCAGAAAAAATAGCAGACTATATTCAAGGAAAAAAAATTAAAAATATCCTAACCCACCAGAAACTATTAGAGCTTTTCAGATTGCTTTTCTGTGCCACGCTTCTCTGTTTGCACACAGTCCTGTTCCTGGGTTTATGTGTTTCAGACAATTCTTAGTGCCCACTGGGTACATTGCTTTCTGGGGAGCAGTCACTACCTTCCGAGTCTCCCTCTCTGTGTTGGGGTGGGGTCCTTAGTGCCGTGAGGTCGAGAGACCCGAGAGCAGTTTGAAGGAGCAGAGGGTGGTGGGTCAGGAAGTGCACTGTGCAGAGTGAGCGGATTCTCTGACGCTGCCCCCAACCACTTCGTCCCGACTGCAGGCCGCCTGCCCGCCTGCTGGGCCGCGCCTCGTGGAGCACACGGCTCCCGGAGCTGCATGTGGCCTGCGGCTCTTCCGGGGAGGTCAGGAGTGGGTGCTCGGCCTGGGAGGAGCTGAGGGACTGGGTCACTGGTTCTGGAGAGCCTTCCAGAAATTCTGTGGTGTTCTAATACTTGTTATAAGGAGCCGTCTATGGCTCTTGGGTGGATGTTTCGGGTGACTCCGTGTTGGTATAAAGAGCTTCCGTCTGTTTGCTCCCAGAGCTGTCATTTTGTCTGAGCCGACAGAGGCAGAGAACCCATTGGATTACATCCTGTGAGTGTATTTTGTCTCCCCAAAACCTGCCTGGGGAATCCTTGCTTCTAGAGCTCTTTCTAGGGGTCTGGATCCCACGCATCTTAGGAACTTGTTGGCTCCCCAGCACCCTGTTCATTTTGGGAGCTGGGCATGCATGATCTGGCCTTTTCAGAGAAGGTTCTGGAAGCCCCTGCCTGCCCTGGCTCCTGAATGTCGGCTTCCAGCCTGGACTGCTGAGCTGTCTCCCCATCTTCTTCCTTCTCCTGGGTCTGGGTCTCAGACACGGGGCTGAGTTCATTGAGCATCTGAGTGCTCCCTGTCTGCCCTCTCTGGGGCTTCCTGTTGGCTCTATTTATTCATCTACTCATTTCCTTGGGTCCCCAGCTCCACTCCTCTCTCAGGCTCCTTCATTGGCAGCCATCGAACTTATGCAGTGGATCCTTTGGTTTGTGTGTGTGAGTGTAAAATGTGTACTGTTTTATTTAAACATGTTTTTATCGATTTTTTATAGAAGGGGGAGAGAGAGAAACATCGATGTGAGAAGCACCAATTGTCTGCCTCCTGCATACTCCCTACTGGGGATCAGGCCTGAAACCCGGGCATGTGCCCAGACCCGGAATTGAACCAGGACCTCTCAGTCCATGGGACGACACTCCATCCATTGAGCCACACTGGCCAGGAAAACGTGTGCTGTTTTTTGTTTTGTTTTTTTAAATCCTCACCCAAGGATACTTTCTTCCACTTAGCTTCAGACAGAGTGGGACAGAGAGAGAGAGAGTAACATCAACGTGAGAAAGACACATTGATTGGCTGCCTCCTGCACGACCCCGATGGGGACTGGGGGCGAACTGCAACCGAAGTACGTGCCCTTGACCAGAATTGAGCCCTCGACACTTTGGTCTGTGGGCTGATGCTCTAGCACTGAGCCAAACCGGCCAGGGCATGTTTTGGCAGCCCAAGGAACTCCTGTGTCCCTCTGCAGAAGCAATGCCCGGGGGTGTCTGCTAGCAAGCAGTCACGCATGTGCTGCACCCCTCGCTCTCAGCAGCTCCTCGGGGTCTGTGGGCTTCTGTCACATGCCCACCTACCTGCTCACCAGGGACGGGCATGTGGGCCCCACGGTGGACCCACCGACCTGTGGGTCAGGCTGTATGGAGCTGTTCCCTGCAGCGTCCTGTGGGCACTCAGTGGGCCCCGTGAAGACCCACTCTCAGGTGTCACACCGTCCATGGGGGGAGCCTGGACGGCACCCCTGGGGCACAGTGTCCAGCACACTGGGCTGCGGGCAGCTCTCGAACACTGATGCAGACAGTGCCACCTTCATGGTGGTGCCCCCCCCCCCCGGGCAAGGCCCTACCCAGCCAGCAGAGTGGGACTGTGGTGCCCTCGTTTCCTGTGTCTGTGTCCCTGAGTTAATTCATAACGTGGCCCCAATAAAAATTGGATTTTTTTATACAATGAGACCACTTAGCGCTCATTTGTGTTACAAACAAGGAAGAACAGCCAGAAAAACTCTGAGAAAGAAGGGCAGGGGGGCCACACGGGCCAGGTCGTGCTGTCTCGTGACCCACCGCAGAGATAGGAGGACTTCAGATGGCTCCACGCCCCAGGACACCAAGGGTGTGGGAGAGGAGCACCCCGTGGGGTCTGTGAGTGGTGCCAGCAGGTGGCTGGATAAACGGGTGGGAAGGAACAGGCGGGACTGTCCTCCCTATTGTGTAGCACAGCGAACAACAGACGGTCAGAGATGTAAATGGAACAGACGAGCCGTATACCTACAAGAATACGGGCAGCTCTTCAGTGACTGGGAGACGAGGAAACTTTCTTACCCTGTTAACTAAAGACCAGAGGCAGTGAGTGCGGTGACCAAGGATCTGATCATGTCAATGTGCGTGAAAAACAAGTCAAGAAAAATATTTGTGACCTGTAAAGCACAAGGTAAATACCCCATATGTAAGGTTCTCCTAAAAATAGAACAGAGGCTGTGACCTGAGAAAAAGGCAGGAGATGGAACAGACGGTTCACAGGAAAAGACACAGATAAATGGCTTTTAAATGCGTGACAAGGCTCCAGGCAGGTGTGGCTCTGGGTGTGGCTCAGTGGGTGGAGCGTCGTCCCAGGGACTGAGGTCCAGGTTAAATTCCTGGTCAGGGCACATGCCAGGTTGCAGGCTGGATCCCCAGTGGGGGGCGTGCAGGAGGCAGCTGATGGGTGTTTCTCTCACATCGATGTTTCTATCTTCCTCTCCCTTCCTCTCTCAAAACAAACAAAAAGTGTGACCAGGCAACGCACACTCGTGCACTTTTGCTGAGGGAGATTCGTGGTTTACTTGGCATCTTTCTGAATTTGCCACCGATGTCAGGGTGCTGCCTCTTCATCATTATTTTTAAGCTGAAACAGACGGAAACTGTGGTTCCTGTCCTTCCGGTGCCTCCACTGGTTTTCAGGGGGGGCTGACATGTGACCATGATTTTCAACAAGAGCAGAAGTGAGCAGAGGAGAATGCACAGTAGCTGTCCGCAGAGGGAGGAACCACCATTCCCAGGCAGGAACTCCTCCTCCAGCGGCGTCCCCAAGGGCTGTTCCATGGAGAACGAGGTGGGTGCAGTCCAGCGTGGAGAGACCGGCACAGCGTGAGGCTCCAGGGGCCCTGGTTTGGGAGATGGGGTGGGGGTTTCAGCTGGCTTCCGGGTCTGAGAACCGAGTCTCGCCATGGCGGGCGGTAGCGAGGCAAGGAGCCGTTTGTAGCTTGTCGGGTTCATGCACCTGAGCTCGGGAATAAGGGGCCGCAGGTGTCGGAGCTGCTGGGCCCGAGCAGTCTGCATGTGGACTGGGGTCAATTAGGGCCTGAGATCCGAATTGGAAAATAGATCAGGGAAAAGGTCAGGAAAAAGCGCATCCACAGCTGCAGACCCATGTCTGGCATTCTGTCCACGTGGCTCCGTGAGGAGGGGGGCACCGTTGCAGCGTCTGCAAAGGACAGTGGGGACGTGCTTCTGCAGGTCTCAGGGCCGGTGAGTCCTGCTCATTGTAGAGGCCTCTTTAGCTCGTGACAAGGGCTCTTTCCCTCGGTCGCCAGGCTCCATCACAGAGTGTCCTCCTTTTGGGGCTGAGTGGGTCCTTTGTCCTTCAGGTCAAAGGTTATAAGAGAGTCTGAGCACCCAGTGAAAGTGCTCGTGTGTGAAGGAGGGATGATCGCAGGGCTGCAGCCACTTTGCAAACTTGATCCCCAGACTCTGCCCGGGAATTACCCACAATCCCTGGGCCCCGGGAGGTTTCCCTGCACATTTTCATGTTCAAAACCAGCATCAGTTCCAAACTGTGAGGTGCCCTCTGCTCACTGTTTCTGAAGAAGCTGAGTTCATGCTTGGCGGGGGGGCCATGTGTGTCGCAGGGGTGGCTCCTCGCACCCTGCCGGGCCTCAGCAGCCAGAGGGCTGGCCCACAGCCCTCACAGTTGTCCTGGCCCCCATGTGGCGCCTTTCAGAACAGGCTGGCTGGCACAGAGCTCACCCGAGGCCCCGCTCTCGTCCTGATTCCGTTCCTGTCTACCTGCTCTGGGCTCTGTCCCCCTGTGATTGTGGCCTCCGGGGGGCAGGAGTGACGTCTCATTCAGGGCGGGGCCTCCTGAGTTCTGGTCCTCAGAGGCTCCAAACAATGTACGTCAACCAGCTTTTACTGCTGCCCCGAGGGGTGTTTCAGGGCGAGAAGGTTCTGTGATACTGTCTTCTGTGTACCTGACAGAGTTTTCCCTCTAGAGGAGAAAAATGAGAGTTTTTAATGTTGCGAAATATAATTGCACTGTGTCTGAGTGCGGGCAGAGCTGAGCCTGCTGTGAGTCCAGCTGCCGCCATTCACAGATCCCCCGAGCACGGAGGTCGCCGAGGTCTGGTGTGGAGCTCCGGCTGTGGTTGGTCTGCCTGTGCTGGGTGCTTCCTGCCTGTTGGTGCTGCCTCCTCCTTTGTTTGGATGATCAGGAACAGTGACCCTCAGCCTCGTGTGCAGTGACCGCCGCACAGCTGGACGTGTGTCTGGAGCATCAGCTTTCTGCAGTGCCAGGGCCAGCTTCCGGGCTCCCAGGCAGGCTCCCCCGTTGCCCCCCACCCCCGCCGCCGGCTGTGCACATTCACTGATTGTAGGGAGTCTTCAGGCCCATCCAGGCTGACCAGGGTGCACGGTTGCCCCAGCGCTGAGCCAGGGCCCCAGGCCTTGGCAGCGGAGGGTGTGCAGAGGGTGCGCATGCTGTTACTGCAGCGAGGGGAGGCAGGGGGCTTCAGCCACTGGCTGCTGAGCCACAGCCTTGGCCACGCCTGCTCCGGCTTCTCTGACTTACGGAGCCCAGAGGCTGGAAGATGCTATGATTCTGTTGTCTGGGGGCATCTCCTTCTTCCTGCCCTCTTCCCGCCCCCTGGGAGTCGGCCCTGGACCTTCCGAGTGTCTGTGGACAGGGGAACGCCCAGCCCACCTGTGTGTGTGTCCAGGTGCTCTTCCCTGGGGCCGGCTCACCCGGTGGTTTGCATCGGGTGCAGTGGTGGTGGCGGCACTCCGCGGAGCCTGGGCGGTAATAACTCCCCCCACTGCTGCTTCTGCCCGCAGCCTGGAATCGTGTCTCCATTTAAGCGAGTCTTCCTCAAAGGTGAGAAGAGCAGAGATAAGAAAGCCCAGGAGAAGGTGGCAGAGCGGCGCCCCCTGCACACTGTGGTGCTGTCCCTGCCGGAGCGCGTGGAGCCCGACAGGCTGCTGAGCGACTACATCGAGAAGGAGGTGAAGGTCAGTGCCCGCCCCTCGCACCCGCCCACCAGGCCCCTGACCCACCCATGGAGCTGTGGTGTCAGGTCTGATAGCTCAACGCCTAGACCCCAGACTCCTTCCTGTCTCTGGCCCCTTCCTGCTATCCCTGCGGTAGCCGCGCCCACCTTTCTTGAGGGCTGGCCAGGTGTTTGGTTCCTTGGCCAAGGGTTAGAGCTGCTTGTGTGTTGTGGTCACAGCCCAGACGCAGGTCTCTGGAGTCCTGTCAGAGCTTGTGCCCGGGACACTTTGGATAGACACCCCCCACCCAGTACCGTGTAACTAGGTGAGTAACAAGGCCCAGCGCCAGGGGTCAGAGAACGGGGAAGGAGACGACGTGGTCAGCGAGGTTGTGGTCAGACGACAGGAAGCGAGTCTTATGTGTTGCTTACAAGTGAGACACAGGTGCCCACACCCAGATTACCAAGCGTGCACAGATTTGTGTGCTGGGAAATGCGCAGGGTGGTGAACGTGACCACGGGTCAAGTCGATGGGCGCAGACCAAGCTCAGGACTGCCAACGCAACCTGGACCATGCTTCCGTCCTCCTGGAACTGGTTGTCGGGGTCCAAGCAACTCCTTTCGGAACCCCAGCAGGTGCTGTAGGTATGCCAAGGTCAGTCCAGTCTCTGGGAAGGTGACAGAATGAAGAGCTGAGACCACTCAGAAGAGGAGCGGAATGGGGGCGGCCAGCTGGTCGCAGGGCCACGGGCCTCGGGTGTCGGCACGGGGCAGGCCCCGCTGACACGCTCCGCTGTCTCGGCCCTTGTTTGTTCTGATTTATGCGACTTGACTGGAGAAAAACAGGTCGATAGCAGAGCTGTTAGTTGGTCTCTTCTGTTGACCACCTGCAGCATCCGTTCGGCGCTGGGTCAGACTGTGCTCACCCTTCACCCTGGTGGGCACCAGGGTTGCTCCCACCTTCGCTGCTTGACCGTGAGCGTGGGGCAGATCGGTCTTCGAGTCCCTCCTTTAGTTCTCCCGGATGAGCGCCCAGAGTGGGGTGCTGGGCCGCAGGTGGCTCTGCTTTCACCTCCCACCACATGCCAGGGCCGCAGGGCCCGCGCCCCCGGTGCTCCTTGTGTTCCTGGCTCTCCCTGACTGGTTGTCCTGAGGGTGCGCTGCTGTGTCTGCTTCGGCTCCATCTCCCTGGTGGTCCGTTGACTGGGGCTGAGCATCTTCTTTGACTTGTTGGCCATTTGTGTATCTTTGAAGAAAAGTCTATTCAAGTCTTTTGCCCATTTTGGGATCAGGTGTTTTTATTGTTGCTGTTTTAGAGTTTCTCCATGTGTTCTGTGTGCTACTCCCTTATCAGATGGATAATTGGCAGATACTTTCTCCTATCTGCAGTCCGCAGGCTGCCTTTTCGCTGTGTGGGTAGAATGTACAACATTTTCGTTTCCATGAAAGTCAGCTGGTCTGTATTTGGTTGTTGCCTGGCACCTGGCCCACCGCTAGTCTCAGGCTCATCCACACCCATGTTCAGCACTTGGTCAGCTCCCCTCTGGGGCCCCAGCGACCTTGCTGTCTGGTGTATCTGAGAAGAGTTTTTGGTTTTCAGTTTGTCAGGTTTTTCTTGTTAGGACGGGATGAGGACACCCGAGCTCTTTACATGTAGAACAGGGGACAGAAGTCCAGGTCAGCCCTTTGTTGTTTTTTTTTTATAATCCTCACCTGAGGATATTTTTGTATTTATCTTCAGAGAGAGTGTGAGGAGGGGGGAGAGAGAGATGGATGTGAGAGGGACACATCAACTGGTTGCCTCCTGTGTGACCCTGACCAGGGCTGGGGATGAACTGCAACTGAGGTACGTGCCTTTGACTGGAACCGAACCCACGACTCTTTGGTCCTTGGGCTGACATTCAAACTGCTGAGCCAGACTGGCCAGGGCCAAGTCCCCCCCTGTAATGGTGACCCTGCACATTTGTGTCTGGGGAGTGCTGAGGGCGGTCTGCCTGGGAAGAAATCCCCACACACGAAGAACACGGAAAGCCACGTCAGTGGTGGAAATGTGACCCGGGCACCAGTGACTCACTCTGTCACAGTCACACTCCCACGCGGGGCCGAGGCCTTGCTGGTGGCTCCTGCATCTCACCCATCTGCCCCGTCCTGCCACGAGCCCTGGGTGAGGCCTGGAGAGTTGGGTGTGCCGTCGCGTGGGGCGGCCGGGACGCTGCAGCGCAGTGTGAACAGCTCCCTGCGCACAGGTTTGTCCAGGACACGGCACTGGGGCACTGCCAGGAGCTGAGATTCGAGCCAAACCAAGGCGGCGGCGGTGTTGGGAGCGAGGCGGGTGCTCCTTGGCCAGGGCGCTGCATGCGGACCCTTCCTCCTCCTCACGGCCTTGCCCTGTGCTCTCTCAGTACTTAGGCCAGTTAACGTCCATTCCTGGGTACCTGAACCCATCCAGTCGGACCGAGATCCTCCACTTCATAGACAATGCAAAGGTAACCCCCTTCCGACCCCGGTCTCTGACCCTTGGCCTGCTTCACCTCTGAACCCTGACCTGTAACCCTCACACTCTGGCAGCAGCTCCTGGTCCTCTGTCGCCGGGCCTCCACAGCCATGAGAGATGACCCAGCCCCATCACGTTTGGTTCCTCAGTCTGAACGTGATTTTATTCCCTAGACGTGCTCTTGTGGTTCTGGGCCATTTTCACATCTCCTACCACACACTGTCGGTCTGCATCTGAGGCATTTCCAGAGGAGCCCCATGGGCGCAGTGGGGCCTCAGGCTCTGTCTGATGCCCATGGTCCCTTCCAGAGGGCCCACCAGCTCCCCGGACACCTGACCCAGGAGCACGATGCGGTCATCAGCCTGTCCGCCTACAACGTCAAGCTGGCCTGGAGGGACGGGGAGGACACCATCCTCCGAGTCCCCATCCACGACATTGCCGCCGTGTCCTATGTGCGGGACGACGCCTCGCACCTGGTGGTCCTGAAGACAGGTGGGGATGGGGTGGCGGGCTGGGCGGGGCCTGGGGTCGCAGCCGCCTCTCTGATGAGGAACCAGTCCATAGTGCGTGGTGTTCTGGTGACAGCTGCTGCTGCCCACCGTCTGCAAAGCAGCCCCCCTGCCCCGAGGTCAGCCTCGGCGAGGAGGGCAGTGCCCGGAGGTCCCGAGGGACAGGTGCTGGGTCTGCCACTTGCTCTGAGCCTTGGGCTCTGCTCAGTGCTGGCCCTCCGGGCGCCGGGCAGGCTGTGGGCTGTGGTGGGCTCAGCTCAGCATGGCCAGCACTCTGCCTTGCTGTAGCCATGTGGTCCTATCAGAGCCGGTGCAGAGGTGAGCCAGACCTTGCAGGAGCCCTGAGCCGTGGGCAGGCTGAGTGTGTCCTCGCAGGAAATCAGAAGGGCCTTCGCTTTTCCTCTTGGCAGTGGTGGGGCCGCCTCACTGGGCACTCTGGACAGGTGCCCGTCAGGTCCGCAGTCTGCCCTGAGAAACGCTGGGCCCTCCCGGGGGCTCCAGGGTGGGCACTGCAGTGCAGATGCTGTCCAGAGCCATCCATGCCCAAGGCACAGGGGGTGGGGTGCCAAGTGGCCCCACCTGGACTGTCCCCTCACACCCTCAGCCCTGTCCTTGCCCGTGCCTCAGCTTCCCCATCTCTAGTCAGGACTGTGTCCCAGCTCATCGTATGTTAACTGGGCCCTGTCAGCACCTTCTCTGGGGCAGATCCAGAGACGCCGAGTAACAGCTGAATGTGAGCCTAAGCGGTGCGTGCTGTCTGCACAAGGTTGCTAGAAAGTCGTGTGGGTGATCTCAGTGGGCGCCTGTACCCGTCCTTGATAAGAGAAGGCACGGACCACCGAGAGCCTGCTGCTGAGGTCCCCGTCCGCCCTAACGTGCCATGGTGTTGACTCCTCAGCCCAGGACCCCGGCATCTCCCCCAGCCAGAGTCTGTGTGCAGAAAGCTCCAGAGGCCTCGCCCCAGGCTCCCTGTCTGAGAGTGGAGTGGGGCCTGTGGAGGCCTGCTGCCTGGTGATCCTGGCCACGGAGAGCAAGGTGAGCCAGCTGGGCCTGGGACCAGGCCCCGCCCACAGCCTCACTCGGGCCCCAAGTCCCACTGAGCGGTGCCTCCTGGGCTCTGCAGGGTGGTTGCTGTCCCCCAGCGCCCTCCCCCCCTTACGGGAGGGGCCTGGAGTAGTGAGCTAGACGTGGGGCCGCAGGCCAGCAGCCTCGGGAGCCTTCCTGCACCTGAGACAGGGTGACCCACAGACAGTCCTCTCGAGCCGCGGCCCTGCCGTCCCCATTGGAGGCCCCACTGGACGTCGCCTGCTGCCTGGGGCCCAGGCTGGGACACGTGGTGAGGGTGGTAGCTAGCAGGGCGGTGGGGAGAGCTGAGGGAGCGTCCTGGCGGGTGGGTGACCTCGGCCCCAGAGAGCACTTGTCCTGGTGCCCGTGGGGCACCTGAGGGGCTGGGTGTCTGGAAGCCACCAGGGAGGTGCTGCTCTGCCCCGACAGGTGGCGGCGGAGGAGCTGTGCTCCCTGCTCGGGCAGGTGTTCCAGATCGTGTACACGGAGTCCACCATCGACTTTCTGGACAGAGCCATATTCGATGGGGCCTCCACACCCACCCACCACCTGTCCCTCCACAGTGGTGAGTGAGGGCAGGTGGGCAGCAGGGGCCCATCCCCCACCCCCGCGGCGTGTGCTGCCTGGGCGGGTGCAGAACGGTGCCGCACCTGCCCCGGGCGCTGAGGGTCTGCCTAGGGCCTTTGTCTCCAGACGTCACCATCCACCGTCCACGTCCCGTTCCCTGTAGTGTTAGCGGACACAGACTCGCGCCCCCACCCCCGGTCAGCCTGGCGGCTCCCTCATAGGGCTGGGAACACTTCTGCAACCGCAACCACACGTAGCTACCGCCGCTGCACCTGGCTCAGCAGGGCCGGGAAGGGCTCCCAGCGCTGGAGCTGCGAGTGGCCACGGGACCCTTCCTTCCAGGCCTCTCAGGCTGCCTTTGGCGGAGCAGGTCCCCCCCAGGACAAAGGCTGCTAGGTGGGGCGTGGAGTGAAAGTGCCCCAAAGGCTTCGACCTGAGCAGCCGTCAGGCACCAACTCCTGCCCCAGCACTGGCTGCAGAGCACTCAGGGACCCTCCTGCATGCACAGACACTGCGTGTGTACACGCCCACTTTGGCCACACCGCCTGCCTTTGAGACCTGTAGTTTATTGAAGATTTGTGGCTTGAGAGTCAGATTCACAGAAGCAAAATGGAAACCACAGCCCAGTGAGGCCTTTCTGTGCAGAGAGGTCCTGCACCGCCCTCCCCAGGGCTCATGCACCAGCCAGGAGCACGCAGCCTGCAGAGACCCGTGTGTGCTGGGGCTCTGAGTTGGCAGGTCACCCGTACTCGCTCAGACACAGGCCGGCCTCACCGTCTGGGTGAGGGCACAGCGGGTCGCACGGGCTTCGTCTGCAGCTGCCCAGTTGTCCCGCTGAGGCTCCGGCGACAGGCTAGCTCTTGGCTTTCGTAGCTTCTGGGGCTGCCTCTGCCCCTCCCCTCCCCCCGCTCCCTCCACGTTGGAGGGCCACCCAGGTAGCCCAGGACAGGCTCCCTGTGCTAGGCCACCTCCGCCGTCACCTGACATGATCCCGGTCCTGGATGTGGATGTGACATCCTTGGGGGCCATTCCTCTGCCCACCACCCTGCCTTTGTGCCCAGTCTCATGCACCCGCCTTTCCCCCAAGCCTCTGGTCACTGTCATAGCGCCCAGGGTCTCTCACGGTCTGTCACATGGACCTAGGTCGCTGCCCAATGTGTCCTGAGCAGTGTCTGTACCAGGCTCATTGCTGGTCTGAGGTCCCGGCATCGCCAGGCCTCTCTCTGTCCTCATGGAGCAGCTGAACACAGTGGATCTCGGCTGGTCCAGGCTGGTCAGAGCTGGCAACACGAGGCGGGCACCGCCTCTGATTCAGCTCCTCACCAGGTGTGGGCTGTGTGGAGACCACGCAGGGCTCGTGGGGAGCCCTCTGCTGCCCCCCACCGCCTAAGGCCCCAAGGAGGAGTCCCCAGGCCCGTGCTCTACCCTGAAGGCCTGCTGTGCCCTGGTCCTGCGGGCTGGGCCTGGTGGTCACTGCCTCCCGTAACCCGGGCCTCTGTGTCCCTGCAGACGACTCTTCCACCAAGGTGGACATGAAGGAGCCGTACGAGACCGATGCCAGCACCTTGTGAGTTCTGCTCTTGCGCACCCCTCCCTGCTGGGTCCCCGCCTCCCCGGTCCATCTAGAGGCTCCTTGAGGTCACGCTGTGAGGGCATCAGCTTGTGAGCCCACTGGGCTCTGTCACCTGCCAGGTCCCTCCTGCATCGTGGGGTCGGCTGTCACCCCAGCCCGCTATGCCCTCCCCCACGCAGGCCCTTCCCGTCACCTGCCTCGACCCCAGTGCTCCCTGGGCCCGGGGGTTGCCACGGGGCAGGACCGGGCAGGACCGTCCCTTGCAGCTCCTTCCCTGAATGTGGGCCCCACACCAAGACGGCGAGCGAGAGCGAGCTGAGCGCCACGGCCGCCGAGCTGCTGCAGGACTACATGCTCACGGTAGGCGCCCGCTGGCTGCGGTGGGTCCCCAGGGCGGGCGGGCTCTGGCCTGCCTCCCGTCACCGCCTGCTCCCCGCAGCTGCGCACCAAGCTGTCCTCGCAGGAGATCCAGCAGTTCGCGGCGCTGCTGCACGAGTACCGCGACGGGGCCTCGGTGCACGAGTTCTGCATCAACCTGCGGCGGCTCTACGGGGACGGCCGCAAGTTCCTGCTGCTGGGTGAGCCGTGCTCGGGGGCAGGTTTTGGTGGGTCAGGAGAGAGAAGACTCCACTGCAGCTGAGGGACTGGCCATGCTTGGCGCCCAGGCCCTGCCATCCACAGTGGGATGTGGCCCTGGACCCACTGTGCCTCCCCCTGCGGACCCCAGAGAACAGGCTGGTTGACTGATCGGTGGGGGCTCCTGGATCCTGGGTTCTGCCTCCAGCAGTCCGAGGCCCCTGACCCTAGCTGAGGGTGTCCTCTGACTTGTCCATAAACGAGTGGTCCCCCAGAGGTGGGAGCACAGCTGGGCAGTGGAGATTCCTTGCTCGGGCCCCCCTCGTCTCTCCTCCATCTGGGGCGTCCCTGACACACGTCCCAGGGCTGGTGCCTGCAGGATGTGCGGGGTCAGGTGTGTGGTGTGTCCACAGGTCTGCGGCCCTTCATCCCCGAAAAGGACAGCCAGCATTTCGAGAACTTCCTCGAAACCATCGGGGTGAAAGATGGCCGTGGCATCATCACCGACAGCTTCGGCCGGTGCCGGCGGGCCGCAAGCTCCACCTCCACCTCCAATGGCAACAGGGCAGCAGGCAGCTCCGACGACCAGTCCGCACCCTCCGAGGGGGATGAGTGGGACCGCATGATCTCAGACATCAGCAATGACATCGAGGCGCTGGGCTGCAGCATGGACCAGGACTCAGGCTGACGGTGCAGGGGCGCCCTCGGGCACACCCCTGTGTGGGGCTGGGCCGGGCCGGGCCAGGCCAGCTGCAGGGCCTCTACTGTGAAGGACCTGGGGCGGAGGCTGCCCTGGCCTCCTCACGGCGGCGCCGGGAAGGGCCTGTCTGCCGGCACCCGGGCAGCTGTTGGTTTTGCACATGACGTTTCTATCGAAACTCTCAGAGACCTTAAAAGAAGTTTACTGCAATGTGAATAATTTATCTCTGGTTGCCAGCGTGTTTCTGATCCCGGTGGAAGCTGGTGTCTCCTGGCCTGGCCGGGGTCCACACACCCAGGACTCGGCACCACGGTCTGGGCACTGAGCCAAAGGGTGCCCTTTGGCAGACCCTGCCGGTGGGGAGCTGGGCCAGCTCTTGACCAGCCGGTGGGCAGGACCTGATGGGGCATTTGCTCCCTGGACGTGGGGCTGGGAACAGGTGTCCCAGGCACCTGTGGATGTGAGTGTTAGGGCCTCACTCTGGGGACTCGGCACAGGCACCCTGAGGGGCACTGGCTGTCCTCTGGCCTCTCGTTTAAGCCACCAAGTCTCCCCCTTCCCTGTGTCCCCCTCACCCCATCATAATTGTTGTCTCCACGCTGAGAGCATGTCATCTTGGAGCCTTGGGCCCAGCTCTTCAGGGTGACCGGCTGGGGCACTGTGCCCTCACCCCCCCACCTAAGCCTCGTGGTCTTGGGCTCTCCTGTGCCCTTTGAAAGCAGGGAGGTAGTGGGGGTGACCGCAGGGCAGAGCCTGGAGACTGTGGGACAGGTGTGCGGTGTCCCAGGACACCCCCCTTGCTCAAAAGGTGCCTCTGCCCTAGAGACCCTGAGGATGCGAGCAGGAAGCCCTGGGGAGGGGCAGGCCCTGTCCTGTGCAGTAAGCTGTGCTCTGTGGATGGTCAGGAGCCCTCCCCTCCAGGGGTCCCACCCACATGCACTTGGCCCCCATTCTGCGGGTCCCTCACCATCCTATCCTGGGACACCGTCCTGGGGTGTGAACCCCACTTGGCGGGTCCCCGTATTTTGGAGAAGAGAAGAGGAGCGTGACTCCTAGGGCTGGGCCACGGAGAGTCCGAGAGCCTTGGGGTTTGACCCCCAGCCAGCCGAGCACATGGGACTCCCAGGGCCCGGCCCAGGCCTTCTCACGGAGCTCCAGTCCCTTGGGCCACGGCCCAGTGACCAGACTGCCTGCAGTCTCCAGGGAACTGGGCGCCCTGGGAACACGGGGCTGGGAGGCCACCGCCCTCGGGTGCTGTGTGCCTCCTCACATCCTGTTAGCTAGAGGCGTTTGGGGAGCAGGCGGAGCAGGAGCAGAGGTGTGGGGACACCCGCTTACTGAGCAGCAGAGCTGGGGTCGAGGTGGAGCCGGGCGCTGGCCAGCGGCTACATTGTCAGCTCCTGCAGGAAGCAAGGAGAGGTCAGGCCAGGGAGGTCCCCGCAGAGCAGCAGCGGGGTCTGAAGGCAGCCACTCACCATGATGGCGTTGACGATGTCGCTCTGGTTGTCCCTCAGGGCCCGCACGGCCTTGGCCCTGGACACGTTGGCTTGTGCCATCACCAGCTCAATGTCCCGCAGCTCCAGTCCTGCCTCGTCCACCTGGTGGGCCAGCAGGAGGTGCTGCACTGTCCCTCCCCCCGGCAGCCGCCCCCTCCCTCTGCCACCCCCTGCCTCACCTCCTCCTCCTCCTCGCCCTGGTCCTCCTCACACTCCGGCTTCACCCGCGGCCCAGGCACCGACTCTGGGACAAGGGTGGTGGGCTCCGTGGGCACCTTGAACTTCTCGGCTGCCGCTCGGTGCACTTGCTGGGACAGGTCCTCTATCTGCAGCAGGGCCGCTGTCAGCTAGCCCTCCTGCCCGCCCCGCCCCGCCTGCCCGCCCCGCCCCGCCACTGACCTTGGCCTCCCCGAACACCACGTAAGTGTCCGAGGCCGGGCTCTTGAAGACATCGGGCTTGGCGATGACAAAGAGGATGTTCTTGGACTTCTGGATGGTGATCCTGGTGACGCCCTGCACCTGCCTCAGGCCCAGCTTGGACATGGCCTGGGGGCACAGCAGGCTCAGGCCTGGGCACTGCCCACGGCCTGTCGGGGTGAGGGCCTGGGCCGGCCAGGGGGAGCACATTGCAGGAGGGTTCCCCGTGGGTGGAGTGGGTGCTGGGCTCAGGCCGATGCCCAGCTGTTCCTGAGGGTGTCGGTCACTGCATTTCCCCAGTGGCCCCCCCTGATGGGACTCATCAGCCCTCGCTGGGAGGTCCCCAGCCCCGCCCTCCCGAGGGGCAGAGCCCAGCCCACCTTCCGGGCTTTCTTCTCACTGCGGCTCTGCTTGGCTTTGGCCGCGGTCTCCTCGCTGCCACTGGCCGGGGCCTGGGAAAAGGTGGGTCTGAGCACCGAGGGGGGGTGGGGAGCCCCCGGGTGCACCCCCAGCCCCCAGCTGGCACCTGCGCTGGGCACTGCACGGCCTGAGGTCCTGAGAGGTCCTGCTCCTCCAGCTCCACTGACGACTGCCCGAGGCTGTCCGAGTGCTGGCCAGGGCCGGGGGCCTGGGCGGGCTCTAGGGACACGGGCGGTGAGGACGGCCCTTTCCTCCTGGCTCTGCCCCGCGGAGCTGAGGTCTGGCTGGGCCGGCCGGCCCCTCCCACCCCATCCCGCCACCTCTGGCCCCTGGGCAGGACTGCGCCCCAGCTCGGCCCCTCACCTTCCTCCAGGCTGTCCTTGTCGTCCTGCTGCTCCAGGGCCTGGAGCCCTTGAGGGCTGGCGGGGCTCCGGGGCCCAGAGCCAGGAGGCACTTGGCAGGGGGCTGGGGTCCGCAAGGCCAGGTCTTTGGCATGGGTGCCCCCCAGGGGGGTCACCTTGGGGCTGAGGAGGGAAGAGCGGGGCAGGAGGCTGACCTGCTGCCTGGCCCCCCGGGGGTTCGTGGTTCCTGAGAAGGCAGCCGCTGCCCGAGGGGCTCCTGCCTGGGGCAGCAGGGGGTCCCGAGAGCCCAGGGACCCCACCCCATCCAACGAGCCTTCCTGGGGACCCTGTCGAGGGCAGGGGGGAGCGAGAATGCTGGGAGCGGAGGGTGCAGGGCTTTGGCGCCTGTCTGGGGGCTGTGGGGGGGAGGGGTCAAGCGTGCCAGGTGCTGCCCGGGCTGGCTCTGCATCCCGGCCTAGCCCAGGCTCTGGCCCGGAGGAGGGCAGTGAGCATGTGGGGGCAGGCTCCTTAGGGCAGCCCCCGCCCAACCTGGGCACAGCCCCTGATGGAGTCTCTGGAGCCACAGCAGATGGAAGCTTGGGCCCCAGGGTGCCCCCTCCACCCTCAGCTGGGCTCTGGGGCTGGACTAGGCCAACCTTAGGGGATCTGTTCCCAGGAGCCTTCCCAGTGCCCTGGGGTGCTGGCTCCAAGCCTCCATCCCCCTGGTTCTCTGCACCTGGGGCTTCCTTCGGAGGTGAACGGGGCTCAGCTCCCTCACCAGCGGGGAGGCTAGCGTTGGGACAGGCTCCCCTGCGGGACACCAGCAGGCCCTTGGCTACTTCCTCCCCACCGGATGTAGGTACAGGGGGGTCCATGGCCTCTTTGGGGGCATCCAGGGGCTCTGCGGAGGAATGTGGGAGTTCCAGGATCTCCAAGGCAGGCTTGGGGCAACCCAGGGCCTCCTTGGAGCAATCCGGGGGGTCCAGGGCCTTCATGGGGCACTGTGAGGGGTCTTGTATCTCTGCAGCAAGCTCATGGGTGCCTGGGATCTCCGAGGCAGGCTTGGGGGGGTCCGGGATCTCTGAAGCAGGCTCGGGGGGGTCCAGGATCTCTGAGGCAGGCTTGGGGGGGTCCAGGATCTCCGAGGCAGGCTCAGGGGTGCCAGGGATCTCTGAGGCAGGCTCGGGGGGGTCCAGGATCTCTGAAGCAGGCTCAGGGAGGCCCGGGATCTCTGAGGCAGGCTCGGGGAGGTCCGGGATCTCTGAGGCAGGCTCGGGGGGGTCCGGGATCTCCGAGGCAGGCTCGGGGGGGTCCGGGATCTCTGAGGCAGGCTCGCGGAGGTCCGGGATCTCCGAGGCAGGCTCGGGGGGGTCCGGGATCTCTGAGGCAGGCTCGGGGGGGTCCGGGATCTCTGAGGCAGGCTCGGGGGTGTCCGGGATCTCCGAGGCAGGCTCGGGGGGGTCCGGGATCTCCGAGGCAGGCTCATGGGTGCCAGAGATGTCTGAGGCAGGCTTAGGGGGGTCCGGGATCTCCGAGGCAGGCTTGGGTGGGTCCATGGCCTCCTCGAAGAGACCTTGGGGTTCTGGTACCTCCATGGGGGGGTGTAGGTGGTCTTGGATCTTTGCAGTGAGCTCCGGGATCTCTGAGGTGAGAACGGGGGGCTCTGGGATCTTCACAGTGGGTTTGGGGGTGTCTGGAATCTCTATGGTGGGGTTGGAGGAATCTGGGGTGTCCAAGGTTTCCATGGGGGGATGTGCAGAGTCCTGGATACCCGCAGGGAGCCAAGGGGTATCCGGAGCCTCCGAGGTGAGTCCAGGTATGTCTGGGGCCTGTGTGGTGGGCTCAGGGGTGTCTGTGGTTTCCAAGACAGGCTTAGGGGGGCCTGCATCTCCATGTAAGGCCCAGCGCATCTTGGCATCTGCAGCCAGCTCCAGGCCACCCTGCTGGGCCTGGGCCAAGTCCAGAGGCTCCGGGTCTCCAGCGCAGACCATGTCCCTCGCCTCCGGTGCTGGCTTCAGTCCTGAGGTCTCGCTTCCTCCCCGCTGGGCTGTGGTGGCGATGGGCTCCGTCCCTGGGGTGCAGTCGGTCTCTGTCTGCAGGTCCCGAGGGCTGGCTGCAGCGGCGGGCGCCTGGCTGGGGGGCAGGCCTGCGTCCCGCAGGGGCACACATGTGGCGACAGGGACAGGGTCCTGGGGGGAGGTGTGGGCTTCTCCCGGCGGGGGCTCCCAGCGCGCGTCTTCCTGCGGGTCCTGCAGAGTGTCTGGGGGCACGCAGCCTGCCTCCCCCTGCACGGCCCAGGGCTCAGGGTCTACGGCGGTGCCGGCCCCCTCCGGCCAGGGCTGAGGTGTGGCCACAGGGACAGCTGCTGCCCCAGCGGTGGAGCCTGCTTCTGGCCTCCTGGCCTGAGAAGTCAGCTCTGCGAGGCCCGGGGCTTCCTGCGGGGCATGTGGAGCCGGGGCCACGGGGGACACCCCGCCCAGGGTGGGGCCCACCTCTCCCTCGGAGCCGGCGGGGCCCTCCTGCAGGGCGGCAGTGGGCTGGGCGTGGGGCTCCCCGCTGTACAGCCTCTCGTCATCCCGCCCGGGGTAGGAGTCGGGGTCGGAGGACGCTGCGGAGGAGTCGTCCTGGAAGGCGAAGGCCTCGTCCACGCCCGCGGCGACCGACAGGTCTGACAGCGACTGCAGGGAGGAGGCGAAGCTGCTGTCCCCCCCGTCCTCGCTGGGCACTGGGGCCTCGTGCTCCTGCTCGTCCTGCTCGTCCTCCTCCTTCTCCTCTTCGGGGGGCAGTGGTGTCACCTCTACAGCCTCCACTTGCACGATCAGGCTGCCCCTGAAAGGCAGGAGGGCGGCTGGCACCATGGGGTCATCAGCCAGGAAATCCAGCTCGGAGAAGTGGCCCTCCTGCCCCCAGGAAGAGCTGCTGTCCGTGGAGAGGCTGGACTCAGAGGACGGGGCCCCCGGGGACCCCACAGGGGGCAGCTCCCACTCCTGAGCCTCCGGTCCTAGGGGGGAGCCCCAGCCTGGGGGCACATCCAGATCTTCCCCGGGAACCAGCAGGCTCAGGGAGCAGGAGGGAGATGAGGCCCAGCTGTCCCCGTCCGCGGTGACATAGGAGCCCGAGGGCGAGGTGGGCGGCGTGTCCCCGGAGTTCCCTGCCTCAGCCTGGGTGTCCCCGGCACCCCTGCAGGGCCCAGAGCTGGGAAGCAAGGCAGGGGTCCCACTAGGTGTGGAGGGAGGCGTGAAGTAGTAATCGGGGTCTGGGGCACGGAAAGGCACAGGAAGGTCACCCTGAGAACATAACACAGTGGGTGGGCTCAGGCTGGTGGGCCCACCCTCCTGGTCCCTGAGCTCCGGTAGGACGACCCAGGGTGGTGGGGGCGCCTGGCACGTCTCCTCCCCCATCACAATCCGTGGCTCCAGGGTGGCTGGGAGAGGTCCCTCTGCAGGCTGGACCTCAGGGGGCCCTGGGCTGGGGCCACCCTCCATGGGGACTGCCCAGGCTGAGGGTGCTTGGCCAGGCCCTGCATCCCAGCTGGCTCCCTCAGGCGGGGGCCGGGCGCCTGGTTTGCTGGGCAGGAACGTGAGGTCCAGGGCGCTGGGCCCAAGGGTCAGGGTGCACTGCTCCAGCTGGTCCCCTCTCGGGGTGGTGGCCACAGCCGCATCACAGGACAGATCTGTGGAGAGAGAGGTGTGAGGAAGGCAGGCACTTGTCCTGAGAAGTGGGTCCCAGGCTGAAGCTAACCCCCTTGGCTGGGTGGGGCCCCCGGAAAGAGGTACTGTCTGGAAAGGGAACTTGTGAGCTCTGACCACAGTGACCAGCTTGGGGTCAGAGTGTGGGGTGTGGCTACGGCACAAACGGGCACCCTGGCTTTCCCGGGAGGTGCTCCGCCACCGTGATGCTGCTGTCTCCAGGGACGCTGGGTGCTGGCTCCCTGCAGGTGGCCTGCTGCCCTGCTGGGCTGGCAGGGGGAGGCCCTCCAGAACCTCCGGGGTCGGGGCCTGGGCAGGGCCTGCACACTGCTCAGCCCTGGGACCTGCAACCCGGCACAGTGTTCCCTGTGCTTCAGCCTTCAGCCTTCAGAGGAGCGTCCATCCAGCCCTGAGGTGATGCTTCGAAGGGGTGGCCCTGCCCAGGGTGCCCATCTGCTGAGGTGCTGGCGGCCAGGGGGTCCTGAGGAGGGGTCCTTTGGGTCCACTAGGCGTAATGAACACCCAGCACCTGAGGTGGGTATGGTGGGTGGGGCTGAGTATCTGAGACTGGGCTCCGGGCACTGACACTGGCATAATGCCCCTGCCTACCAAAACTGGAACCCAGTGCCCCTGGGCAGGGCGAGGGTGGAGCTGGGCCAAGGCTTGAGTGGGGGGGAGCCTAAAGGTCAAAGGTTTTAGTGACTCATTCAAGGTCATCAAGCAGTCTGAGCAGGGTCAGCCCAGCCCGAGTCTGGGGACACTAGCCCTGTCCCCTTTACTGGGCTCCAGAGTGGGACCAGGCCCCTGCGCCCAGCACCGGCCCCATCCTCAGGTGACTTCTCGCCCGTAGCAAGGTGCCCTTGGCCCTCTGAGTCACACCCGCTGACCTCCTGCTGGCCCAGGCAGACACCGCGTCTCCAGCACTGCTGACCTAGCCCTCCAAGGACGCGGGCTTCAGACTGAACCTGCTCCCAGGCCCTCTGCCCTCCCAGACCCACAGTGCCCCCCCGGCTTCCCAGATGCCAACTCCCTTCCTGCCCCTCTCTTTGGGACCAGTGCCGCCCTGAGAGGCCTCAGGCAGGTGGGGGACAAGTATCCCCAGGGACAGGGCACAGCTGGGAACCTGCCACTTGCAGTCTGGATTCCCACCCGTCCAGGCCCACAGCTCGCGCAGACAATGGGGTGCACGAGCCAGGACGCTCAGTCCAGCCCGCTCCACCCGCCCTTTCCCGCAGTCCCCAGTGCGGCCGGGCGGGGGTCAGCATTCAGATGGTCCGAAGGGCAGGGGACAGGGACAGACAGAGGGGCGGGGGATGCGCACGCAGGGAAAAGCGCGCGGCCTCACCTGTGCGGGGCCCCGGGCCGCCCGCCTCCGGCAGCAGCAGCTCCGCGCCGGCCGCCTCCCCGGGCATGGCCTGGCCGTGCGCCCGTCCCTCTGTCCTGGTCCCTCCGTGTGCGTCCGTCCCGTGGAGCCTGCACGGCCACCGCCCCTCGCCCGGGATGGGTGTGTGTGGGGGGGCCAGTGGGTGACGTCAGCGCAGGCCCGCCCGCCAGGGGCCCCGAGTGAGCGTGCGCGGCCGCCGGGCACTGCGGAGCGCGGTCCCTCCCCGCCGTGCGCACTCGGCCCGCAGCGCGGCCCAGCCTCTCCGCAGGACCTCCCGCCCTCAATGGGCCAGGGGCTCGCGGCTGGCTGGAGTCTGGGCCGCCCCGGGTGGCAGCACCCCTTAGCTGGATGGGGAAGAGGCGGGGGCCGCCGGCACTCAGGGTGCGGGGGTCAGAAGGGTTGGAGTTTTTAGGGGGCTGGGACGCTTTGGGGGAGGCGACGCAGACCCTTTGCCTTCTGGCTTCTTGGCCGCCACCTGCCGGGTCGGGAGTCCCAGCCCAGCCTGGTGCCTCCATCGAGAGGTGAGCAGGACCCGCAGCTCCGCACTGATTGGCTGGTCCTCCCAAGTCGGTCCCCATGGCAACCGCCTCCCGGCTCAGGCTCAGTGGCAACCGGAGATGGAGGGGAAGATGGTCCCGTGGTCGGGGCTCTGGCTGCCCCACCCTTCAGCTCTCCCAGTGGAACGAGACCCGCCTTCCTCCCCCAGCCCTGTTCCCAGCAGCGCCCCGCCGCCCCACCCAGGATGGAGCCCTCCCCCCGCGCTCCCAAGGCCGTGCCAGGCTCTGGGAGACAAACATTGTCACTACCGGCCGGGCGGGCCGGGCAGGGCGTCGGAGGGGCTGCGTTGTGTAGGTGGGTGGGTGTCCTCACTCCTGCCCTCTGCTGATACCAGTCAGGGGCTGCCTGCTCGGACCACACCCCACGCCCCAACCTCTGCCCCAGGCGCTGGAAACCCGTCCATCTGCCCCTGGCAGGGCTCCTGCTCCTCGGCCTCCCCTCCCCGGGTTTGGAGCCCCCGCCTGGGGCTTCTCCCTCTGTCTCCCTCTGCCCCCCTCTGCCCCCCTCGGTCCTTCCTGACGCCACTGCTCAGGAAATAAGGAGAAAGCCCAGGTGAAGGGAGACGGAAGGGACGTGTCACCAGCAGGGCCTTGGAGGTGGGCGAGAAGCAGCAGGAGAGGGTATGAGATGGCATCGTGCAGCATCGGGGGTGCGGAACGTGGGTGAGCACCACGTGATGGGAACACGCACAGGTGACCCCCCACTCCGGACAACATGCACAAGGTGAAGGACGAGATGGAAGAGGGTCCCACACGCGAGTGCGGGCCGCGGGTCCCGGCAGACCGACCAGTGCCGTGGGCCACTCCGACCCGAGCCACCACCAGGAGCGCTATGCAGAGGGCTGACCCCCAGCCACCACGAATAAGCCAGAATAGCAGAGCAAGATTACGCAGATATTAAACACAGAAAAAAGCGGGAGTGGCCGTGTCAAGTCCGCGAGCAGAGGAGCCGGATGTGCCAGGACACGCCCTCAGGCCTCGGAATAGGCGAAGCAGAGCCCGGCAAAGGCAGTGCCTAGTCTAGCAAACACGACAGACCGGTGTCTCCCGTGACTCCAGGCGCCACAGTTCTCAATGAAACATTGCAAATCAAACCCAACCGTGTGTGAAAGAACTCTACGCCGGGACGAAGTGGAATTCATGCCAGGCATGCAAGGCTTGTTCAACATTTGGGGAAAAAAAATGTAATTTACCAAAAAATTATAAAATATTAATTGATACAGAAAGCATTTGGCATAATCCAAAGCCATTCAGATTAAAAACAAAACTTGGCAAGTTAAAACAACCTTGGTCAAGGTCACACACAGAAGCCCCACAGCTAACACCACATGTAATGGTGAGAGGCCCGGCCATGTGGCTCAGTGGACGGAACGTCCTCCCATGGCCTGAGAGGTCCCGGTTTGATTCCCAGTCCGGGCACACGCTGGGGCTGCCAGCTGGTGGATGTTTCTCTCTCGCATCGATGTTTCTCAAAAATCAGCAACGATGTGTTAGAAGGAAGACGGAATGTGTTCCGAGACTGGGAACAGGCCAGGACCAGGGCTGCGACCTCTGCTCACACTGCCCGCAGCTCTAACCCTGTGTCGCGGCGGGGGAAGGGCAGCCGGGCTTCCAGAGGAGCGCGTGGGGCTCTGCTGGCCCGTGGAGCTGGCGGACCCCCCACCCCAACAAACGCAGAGGCTCCCAGAAATGGTGTGCAGGGCGAACAAGAGAAGCAAACCCAGAAAGGGCAGCGCAGTGGCACTGACCCAGGACGGAGGCCCCGCCCCGCCCCAGGACTCTTCCTGGGGATCCAGCCTGTATCCCGCCCCAGACCCCTGCTGCCGAGGCCGTGTGCCACGCAGCCCCACTTGTGGGGGGACCCCTTGGACATGGCAGGCAGAGAACGCTGGGCCCCCACGGCCTCCCCCAGCTCAAGGCGGTGGTTCCATGCGGCGGGGGGGGGGGGGGGGGAGTGGGTCTCAGGGGCTTGCTGCGGAGCCGGGCTGGGGTTTGCCTGGGGGAAGGAGGCTACTGGACAGGTAGCCCCTTTCCTGCTGTGTGTGCTGACTGTTGCAAGAGCGCATGGGAAGGTCAGACCTCAGGGCGCTCTCAAGAACAGTGCAGGCTGTGGTGGAGGCTCCTGGGAGATTCGTGCATCGAATCCGGGACACCCCAACTGCAAGAGGGTGACTGTGGGCACAACCACTCCTCCCGAGGAAAACACGAGGCCGAACACAGAACCAGACTTAGCGAGAAGAATCCAGCTGCTCACTGAGTAAGCCCCAGAGGGGAGAGAGATTGGGTCAGTACCCACAGTTGTTAAATATTTGATCTACTTTTATTATTATTATAATTTAAATCCTCACCCAAAGATACTTTTTTCCCATTTATCTTCAGATAGTCGGGGCGGGGGGGAGAAACTGATGTGAGAGACACATGGCTGCCTCCCTCCCACATGACTCCAACAAGAGCCAGGACTGAACTGCAACCTAGGTACATGCCCGTGACCGGAATCGAACCCGCAACTCTGGTCCACAGGCCAATGCTCTACCGCTGAGCCAAACTGGTGGGGGAAAACATTCTATCTAAAATGTCCTAGTTCCAACAAAAAATTACCAGGCAAACCAACAGGAATATAACTCATACAACGGTAAAAAAAAAAGCAATAGCCTGGCCGGTGTGGCTCAGTGGTTGAGTGTCGACCCTGCACCAAGAGGTCGCCAGTTCGGTTCCTGGTCAGGGCACATGCCCAGGTTGTGGGCCAAACGCCCAGTGGGGGCGTGGAGGAGACAGACAACCCATGTTCTCTCTCTCATCGATGTTTCTGTTTCTCTCTCCCTCTCCCTTCCCCTCACTCTAACGTTACTACAGGAAAAAAAAAAGTGGGCAACAGAAACGGCCCGAGTGGCCAGCTGCCACGTTCAACAGGAAAAGGCTTCGCAGCAGCCCTGCCAGGCTCGGACCGAAGGAAGTGCGCGTGGGGCGCAGGGGACCTTGACGCCACTCAGCGGTGGAGGCGGGACGCCAGCTGGTAACGAGCGAGCAGAGTCCAAGCTGGCGGGACCGGAGGACTCTGAACACTCCCAGGACACGCAGGCTGAACAGAGAGATGAACGGAGCTGAGATGTGCGGACACTGTACAAGGCTCCAGCACACAGGACGGCGGGAGAGGAGACAGCGCCCAAGCCGTGGCCGAAAACTTCCCGAGTGTATTGGAAACCACCACCTACACCTTTAGGAAGCTGGCTGGACGGCAAGCAGGACACGTGAGGCCAGGCCCACGGACGCACCACGTAAATACACTGGGAGTCCGACAGACTCTCAAGAGCGAGTGTCAGGCTGTTAGTTCAGCGAGACGGGAGGACTCATGAGCACCTGCACGCCCGTAACTTCCGATGAAAAACCCGAAACCGACTGAAACGAGGCCGGTCACAGAGGCACCAAGGACACGGGCTGAGCAGGCCGTTGGGAGCCCGCGCCCCGAGACTCCCTGGGACGCGAGGCACCGGAGCCACCAGTGCTGGGAGCAGAGCAGGCCCCCTCTTCCCGACCTGGGGACACGCTGCCGGCGACAGGCAGATGGTGCCCGAGCCTGGGACGCCCCACCCGCGGCCAGCGGACTCTCGACGAGGCTGTCGAGACTGTGCAGTGGGGCAGAAGTCTGTTCCGCGATGGTGCTGAAACTGGACAGTCCCACACAGAACAAAGTGGACGCTTACTTCACGTCAGATGCAAAAACTAACTCAAAGTGGACGAGATAAAAATGAGAAAGTTCTTAGAAGAAAACATAGGGGTAAGTCCTTATGACCTTGGATTCAGCTGAGGATTCTTAGCTGAGACGAAAGCACGGGTAAGAGACGCTGGACACACCACGTGTGAAGGTCCTGAGGGCACCAGGAGAGGCGGACAGAGCACAGGCGGGGAGAGTATGAGTCGGGGGGCAGAGGTGCCACGTCCCAGAGCAGAGCCCCTGAAACTCGGAGTGAGGCTCAGACAGGAACCTCTGTGAAGGCGGTGCAGCCGGAGGGTAAGTGCACACAGGTAACAAGGTGTCACCAGTCACTGTGGAAACAGAAAGCGGAGCCTCGAGACCCCGGAGACCACTAGAGCAGGTCACAGGGAAACGCAGACGGAGAGGGGGCACCGCTGCCACGAGGGCCCATGAGAGCCGCCGGTCAGCCAGACCCCGCGCCCCCAGCTGGAGGCGCTCGGGACACGCTTCTGCTCCACTGCACGGTCTCGACGGCCTTGTCGAGAGTCCGCTGGCCGCAGGTGGGGCGTCCCGGGCTCGAGCACCATCTGCCTGGCGCCGGCAGCGTGTCCCCAGGTCGGGAAGAGGGGGCCTGGGGCTCATCCTGACAGGAAGCCGGCAGCGGCAGCCTCCAGTCAACTGACAGGGCCCAGCTCCTGACGGGGCGTGAGGGGCACCGACTCGACAGAACCTCCCGGAATAAAGCACAAATGGAAACAGTGGGCTAAGGAGAGGGAACACGAGTCCAAAGGGCAAGATGAGGGTCCTCGAGGCGATCGAGTGTCCCGAGAAGGCAGCCGGAGGCCAGGGCCCCGAGGCACCACATCTGCACGAGGCCACCGTGGGAGGCGCAGGGCCCAGCGGTCCTCCCAGCCACAGGTGCCCCAGCTCACGCTCCCTCCGCAGGCTCCCTGGAGGCCCCAGCTCAGCTGCACTGTCCCCAATGGCCTTCGCCTCCCCGCCTGCGCAAAGAGTCTTGTGCCTGGTGGCCCCCCCCACCGGGAGTGAGAAGCTTTGACGGGGACGGGGAGGGAGACAGCTGGGGCGGCATGGTGGCTCTGTGCCCCCAGTGGAGTCTGCAGAGGGACCGGGGGAAGGGAGGAAGGCGCTGCCTCCCGCACCAGGCAGCACGTGGTGACACTGGGCAGGATCAACACCAGTGACGAGCCCCTCCCATCTCCTGCCCTCGGGCCACCTGTCAGCACAGGCCCAGGGTCCCCCTCACCTTGGACCAGGGATGGGAGGGGACCTCCCAGGACGACTGTTCACACCCTATCAGAACCCCAAGCCAGGCACTGAACCCCAACTGGCTTCACCATGTCAGGACTGGTCTATGCTGAGCTGATAATAGGCCCAAGTCCCAGGTGGCCACGTGTGAACATGTGTGAGGAGGGCGGGGTGGCAGAGAGCTGGGACTGCGCAGCTGGAGTGAAGGGCTTTCTGTCTGGAAGGCCAGCCACCCCCCACCCCCGCTTAGCCCCCCGCCCCCGCAACAAGCCAGAGGCCCAGGGTGGCCACCCCCGCCCACAGGGACAGGGTGGGTGAGAGCAGGTGGATGGTGTGGGGTCATGAAACCCAGGACGCCGCCTGGTGCTGAAAACCAAGGTTAAAGTTTTATTACCCGCAAGGGGCAACCTCCCACTTGCAGCCGCTGGCCAAGGTCACGCACCGCCGTCCTTGAGGGTGGCACCTCCTGCCAGCCCAGGTCCATGGCGAGGCCTCAGGGAGTCCGGTCCCCGGCACAGTCCACGCGATGGGGCGATCACTTGGCCAGCTCCTCGGCCACCACTTTCCGTACCTTGTCCTTGAGGTAGGCGCCTTTCTGCCACTCAGACTTGAGCTCCAGCCACTCGTAGTACGGGACCTGCAGGCAGAGGGGCGGCGTGGGTGGGGACCCCGTGATGCCTGCTGCTCTGAATGGCATCGCTTCAGCCTCCAGACCCCGAAGGTGCAGGACTGGGGTGGGGACCAGTGCCAGGATCATCAGGGCTCAGACCACAGGGGGCTGTAAGCGGCGCCCCGTGTGCCCCTGGAGCCCCGAGCTCTCGGGCCTTCATAGGCTCCCTGGAAGGAGCAGCAAGAGGTTGTCTCTCAGGCAGCAGTGGGGCCTGAGCGCCGTGCAGAGTCCACGCAGCACAGCTGGAGCGACCTCACGTCCAGGCCCAGGCCGTGCCCCTGGAAGCAGACCCCAGGCCCGGCTGACCCCGTGTGGTCACTAGCTGCCGACAGATACTCACATCCACCAGCAGGAAGCCAGCGGCCAGCAGGTGGCGCCGGGCCAGCACGAAGCGCCCCAGCAGGTCCTTGCTCCGGCTGTTGAAGTTGGGGAACTCCCAGCGCAGGAAGGCAAGCCTGTGGGTAGAGGGCACTGGGTGCTGACCTCTGTCCACCCTGGGAGGGAAGGGCAGTGCCCAGAAGAGCCAAGGGCCGACCTGGAGCTGTGTGCCCTACCTCTTGGCCTTGGGGGGCAGTGGCTGGCCCCCAGAGGGCGGGGCCAAATGAGGGGCCACAAAGTCCTTCAGGGGCAGGAACTGGCCTTCGGCGTCCAGCAGCACCTCAGCATCTGCGGGGGGGATGTTGGGGGCATCCCTCAGGTGGAGCTGCAGCCTCTGGGGCCCTCTGGTGAGCCCTGGTGTGGAGGGCAGACCCTAGACCACGCCAGACAGAGTGGGGAGCCTCACCCAGAACCCAGCCGTACTGTGTGGCCACCGAGAAGCGGCCCTTGTCGGCACTGCCCAGCTGTCCCTTCAGGGTCTCCTGCAGCTCCTTCTGCAGAGGTGTCGCCTTCCTGTCAAGGGCTGAGGGCCTGGGGACCGAGGCTGAGGCTGGCAACAGGGGGCCCGTGTACTTGGGGTGCTCCAGCTGGGCAGTGGCGTTGACATGGAGCAGCTTCTGGAAGGTGCTCTGACCCTTTGGGGACCTGTCGTCTAAGGGAAAAGGTGCAGTGAGGGGGAGCTGAGGGCAGGAGGACCAGGTGGGAGGCAGCAGTACCCCCACCCCAGCCCATCCTGGACTCCAGCTCAGGAGGGTCATCTGCATGGGGCACAGCAGCAAACACTCGGGGATCCTGAGCCCGCCTACCTTCCCTGTTCCCTGCCTGGCACGGGGGCCTGGAGGCTCCCAGACCCCACCCGGGTGCAGGCAGGCAGGCAGGCACGCAGAAGGGAGGGGACCCCTCGCTGCTCACCTAGGAACTGGGTGTGGAACTCAGGGCGGAGCACAGCCCGGAGCTCGGCGTCTCTGGCCTGCTGCAGCACACACAGGGCCCACAGCACGTCCACCTGCAGCGCCGGGTCCAGGCCCGCCAGCTGGCCCCCCAGCTTCTCGTGCACCTGGGAGGCAGGGTGGGTGCAGAGGGAGGGCTCTGCTCAGGGAATGCAGACATCCTGACTGGGCGGGCCACCCCTGGGGCTGCCTCATGACTCGGCCAGGCAGAGGACAAGGTCTGGCTGATGCCCTTTGGGAAGATACCAGAAACTGCCTGCATCCCCTCGTACCAATTTGGACAGAAGGACATTCAACTGGGCTTTCCCCCTGACTCCCTACAACTGGCAGAACCTGAGACACAAATCACATCTCCAGTGACGTCCTGAGTGGGCCCAAGACTGGGGAGGTGTTTCTGGCCCTCAGAGGAATCGGGGCTCGAGGGGCAGCAGTCGGCCGACTGGGCTAGTGCTTCACAGGGACCTGCCAGTGAGTCTGGAAGTGGAGGCCGAGGATTCTGAACCTCAGTGGGGCACGAAGGTGGTGACAGAAAATGAGCCCAAAAATGCCTTCTAGACCCGCGGCTACTCTGGGCCACAGCTGGCACCGTGTTTGTCCCCAGACAACCCCCGGGTGTCTGGCTCCAGCCAGTTCCCCCCACCCTGTGCCCCCACAAAGGCCTCCCTCATTTCTGCCTCCGCACCCAGGGCTCCTGGGCACCAATCCCGCCCACAGGAGAGCAGGGGCAGGGTCGGGGAGTGGAGCCGGTACCAGGCTGAAGAACGAGTCCTCCTGCTCCGGTCGGAAGTTCAGGCGGGCGAAGGCCAGAAGCACGTTGCAGAGGTGGGGCAGCGGGATGCTCTGGGCCCTGCTCAGCACGTGCTGGGCGGAAGGCGGGGGTCAGGACAGGTGCTCCGTGCACGCCGGCCCTCAGCACAGGGCTGGCCGCACCCTATCCTCCCAGCAGCAATGACCCTCAAAGACCTGGGACCCCCAGAAACCGCCCCAATGCAGCTTTAGAAATACTCTCGTAACCAGTAAACCCGCCCAGTTGCCCACAGACCTAAGCACAGGCGTGGTCTCTCTCCCAACAGAGTCAGGGCAGCTAAGGGCGCCCGGCCTTGCTGCCCGCATGGCTCCTACCACAGACGCCGAGGACCGGCAGGCGGGCCCTCCACCTGCCCTCTCTCCGAGACCTCTGCTCTCCAAGCACGCCAAAGCAGGAACCCGATGTTTGCATCAGGGGGTGCTTCCAGACCCCGAGCCCCCCTGATGCACCCACTAGCCCAGGCCTAAGGGGTGCACCCTGCTAACCTGGGCAAAGGCCTCAAACAGGGGCAGGTTGAGCCACTTGAGAAAGGCGAAGGACTTGGCGCAGCGGGCCACCTCGCTGGACGTGAGGCTGGGCATGTGGGGCAGCAGGTCAGCGGCCAGGCGCTGGAACACCTGGGTCTGGTGGAAGCCGAGTTTGCCTTTGGGACAGAGCAGACCCTGGGGTTCACCTGGTGCCCTCCCCAGCCCTCCACCCTGGCCTCCAGGTCTAGGAGCCTGGTGTCTGTAACCAATTTATCCCTGAGGCCCAGCAGCGGGGATCAGGGCCCATGAGTCACCGTGTTTCTGTGGCAGCCTCTGGGCCAGTGCCTGCCATGGATGGGCTGGCACCGAATCTGACACGGCTGCAGCCAGAGCGCCGCCCTCCCCACCCCAGTGCGAGGGGCTCACCGTAGGCATAGGCCAGGTCCAGGAGGACGCCTTTGGTCAGGGTGAAGGGCTTCTGGACCAGGTGGTAGGAGACGGCCCGCAGCAAGGGCACCGACCGCCGGTTCTGAGCTGCCAGCGCCACCAGCACCTTCCGCAGCTCCTCGGGGCCAAACTGCTCCACCAGCTCCAGGCACTGTCAACCACAGCCGCAGGGTCAGCTCGGCGGCCTGAGGGCCGGGGTCCCATGCAGTGCAGCCCTGTGAGACACAACTGGGCCTGAGCTTACTACACACAGGCCCACTCTGTGCAGGGCCTGGGCACCATGTCCGCAGCCAAACTCATCCCCAGGTCCCAGGGCGGGGGACCCAGGGCCCATGAACTGTGGCGCTTGCTGTGGCAGTCATCTGGGCCAGCCCCCGCTACAGTGGGAACGGGGCTGAATTTGACTTGGCTGCGGGGCTGGGGCTGGGGGCGCTACAGCTCTCAAAGATGTTGGCCAGAAGCTGAGCCTTGCGGCTGGCCCAGGCCACACTTGGGGAGGTCATGTGCACGAGGCCTTTCGGGAGGAAGATGAAGGGGCAGGGGTCAGGCTCTTTTTTTTTACCCTCACCGGAGGACATTTTTCCATTTTTTGTACAGATAGAGCGGGAGGGAGAGAGAGGAAGAGAGAGAGAGAGAGAAACATCAATGTGAAAGGGACACATCGAGTGGTTGCCACCCGCACGACCAACCAGGGCCAGGGACAAACTGCAACCGAGGTACATGCCCTCAGCGGGAACCGAACCCAGGTCTCTCCGGACCGCAGGCCGACGCTCTAACCGCTGAGCCAAACTGGCCAGGGCGGGGGAGGCGGGGGGTCAGGCTCTTCACCCCTCAGGCCGCCGGAGAAGGCAGCAAGCACACCACGCGCTAACATGACCACACATGAGCAGGCGCCCGGCCCTGCCCCTCGCCCCCGCTCTCAGCCCCAGTACCTTGTCCTCTAGGCGGTTCATCAGCGACTCCGAGAGGGGCCCCAGCTTCGTCATGATGGCCACCAGCGTGCGGCTGTCCTCAATCTCTGCCCAGCGCCGCTCCAGGCTGACGAGCAGCTCGGCCAGCAGCTCCTGGGAGCCCCGCTCCTGCATGTAGGTGGTGCTGGACTCGGCCAGGAAGGCCAGGTGCTTGTACCTGAGCCTGCGCATGCGCCAGCGCACCTCCTGCTCCACCGACCGCAGCTCCTTGGAGGCTTCGGGGAGCGCCAGTGAGTAGAGGCCCCGGAGTAGCTTCACAAGGGTCCCGTGCCAGACCACGGATACCTGAGTAGGGGACACAGCAGTCACACCCTGGACCCCAGGGCGGGCGCCGCTGCCGGTGCTCTGCCTTGGCTTGGTCCACGTGCTGAGCCGGCTGCCCATCTCCTGTCATCTGCAGCAGCCACTCTGAGTGGTGAGGGCCCCGGAACCTCCCGCACACACCTGGTGGCAGTGCTCAGCTCTGCATGTGGGTGCTCGCCTGCGGAGTGTGACTCGGGGTCCAGAAGGACCAGTGGGCTCTTACAGGACAGTTGTGTTATCAGCCTCATTCTTCCTCTGGCAGTGACACTGACAATTTTTAGCTATTAAAATACTTTTTATCCGGCTGGTGTGGCTCAATGGTTGAGCGTCGACGCTGCACCAGGAGGTCACTGGTTCGATTCCCGGTCAGGACACATGCCCGGGTTGTGGGTCGGATCCCAGTGGGGGGCATGCAGGAGGCGGCCAATTGATGTTCTCTCTCATTGATGTTTCTATCTCTCTCTCCCTAAAATCAATAAAGGAAAAAAAAACCCAAAAACCAGACTTTTCTGCAGGAAAATGACTGTAACGCTCAGTCTGGGAAGCCCCACCTCTGAACCAACCCCTTTCCCTCCACAAAGTGGCCTGCAGGACCCTGCGTCTGAGGCTGCACAGGGAGGCCCTTCGCCCTCAGACACGTTGGTACCACTGCGTCCTGCTACCCCACACTCCAGGCCTTAGGGGGTGAGCAGCCGCCACCGCCACCGCCACCGCCACCGCCACCAGCTCTTACAAAACGCAGGCGTTCGTATGCCAGGGACCAGCACCCTGTGGCCTCACATCCCCGCGCCACATATCACTCCTCCAGGTCTCTGCGTAAACCGCAGAACCAGGACCTGCAACAGGCATTCTAAACCCAGCCTTGCCCTAGGGACCCCCGGGCCTCCCTCCTCCCCAGGCTCCTGCAGGTTCTCTGCACAGGGTCACTGGGCCCTGCAGGGTGTTTCCAGGCCTCAGAGAAACATGGAGCCACGCGAGCAGCCCTCACGGAAGGCGGATGTGGCTCTGGCCCCTCACTACTGGTGGCACAAGCTCCTGCCTCCAGCCCGTCTGTCTGTGGGGCTGCTGCCGAGAGGGGAGCCACAGTCACCACACATGAAGTGAGAAACAGAAATGCTGCAGGGTGAGGGGCTGGGGAAGGAGGAAAATGTTGAATTTAATCTCAACACAAGACTCAGGCATCTGTGTCTTTCTGAAGATTTTTTTTTGGACAACAGGAAGGATCATTTATTTTTTAATTCCAAAAAATTTTTTTTCCTTCATTGATTTTAGAAAAAGAGAGAGAGAGAAACCTCAATTAGCCGCCTCCTGCATGCCCCCCACTAGGGATTGGACCCAAACCTGGGCATGTGCCCTTGACTGGGAATCGAACCTGCAACCTCCTGGTGCACAGGACAGTGCCCAACCAACTGAGACACACCAGCCAAAGCAATTAAGGTAATTTTTATGAGCTACATTCCCCCTTATCTCCGCCCTCATCCTTTGAGGATCTGACTGGTTGAACAACGCCCACACCCTTTTCAAGTTTCTGGGCTCCCCCATCTCCTCAAGCTTCAGGGGTGTGCCGCCATCAGCCTGACCCAAGGAGGGGACACAGAGTGACGAACAGAGAAGAACCAGAACAAGGCCGGCTCCCTGTGCTTGTTTACCGTGAGGATGGCAATATTCACCAAACAGGGCTGGTGTGAGGGTTACCAGAGAAAGCCTGTGAAAGTACTTTGACATCTGTAGACCGGCTGCTTTGGACTCCAGTTCCTGCCTGTTCTCCACCTGCCGAAGAGTCCGGAACCCACCTGACTGCTGACAAGACGAAGCAGCTTCTGAAAGCGGGCATCCTGCAGGAGCGAGGCTCTGTCCTCCGGCCTGTCCGACAGCAGGCGCGAGAGCTGGATGAGCACGAGGGCCGCGTGGTTCTGGTGCAGGCAGTGGCCGCCGTCCAGCAGCTCCAGGAGCTCCTCTGGCTGAGTGGCCTTCTCGATGAGCTCGTCCACCTCCTGGCGCTCTGGGTAAGGGGTGAACACCTGTTCCTTCTCCACGTGCTGTGACAAGGAACCTGAGTGGGAACTCGGTGAGGTAGCTGAGGAAGTCAGAGTCTTACGGGCCACCCTGGCCAGTCTCAGCTGGCCAACCGGAGGCCCAGCAGGGGCCAGACGAGCGGCCTCTCTCAGCAGGCACGTGCACCGCTTCACCAGGCGAGCCGCCATGACGGCCTGCGGCAGGGAGGTGACACTCCTAGCGAGCAGATCCGAGGCCCTGAGGGAAAGAGAGAAGGAGTGGTGCAGGGGCCCTTCCTGGGTCACATACACTAGAAGGAGACAAAGGAAATGCATTCGCAGCCACACTCTCCCTATACCAGCCCAAACGCTTCTGACTTGTTTACATGCACAGCATCTTCGGAAACAGAGACCTCAGAGGGCCTCCCCCCACCCCCGTCAGTACACAGTGTAACCATCAACACTGGGCAGCATGCAAGTGGGTTGGGGTTGGGGCATTTTCAGTCCTGTTGTGCTTCGAAGTCACCTAGGAACAGCCCAACAATTCAGATTCCTAGGCCCCTCGCACGCCCTCTTGAACGGGAGTCTGCAAGCAGGGCCAGGGCAGCTTCCTTTTTAAACATTAAGAGCCCTCAGCACTAAGAATTAAGAGACATGGACCGATATTTTCAACATACTGCTCCTGAAAGTCCCTGGGCGAAGAATCTACGTCCCACAGCCTCTGTGGGTCTGTTTCAATACTTAGAGACACAGAGTGACCTTCCACCCTACTTAAAACACCCCACTAACTTCTAGGAGCAAAACTGCTAAACCAATCACAACGGCGCTTCACACCCGGCTCAGACTTATCTTCCCGGTTCCACCTCTTCTTCCTGCAACACACGCCTCCTTCTGCAGGGGCCCCGCACCTTCACCACACCCCGGTCTCCCCACCTCCCGCCACAGGGACCAGGAAGTCCCCCTTCACGTCCCCAAGCCCAGACCCAAGCTTCCTTCTCCACGAAGCGGTTACACATCCCAACGACGCTGCTTTGAGCAATTCTGTTAGCCCTGCTCACCGGGGTCAGGAAATGACCTCGGTAAGGCACGTGACCGGGGCTCGATAAACGGTCCCCCCGGGCCGGCCTCCGGCCACGGCCCGGAGCGTGTGCGCTGATCCCCGACCCTGGACGCCGCCGGCACCGTTATTTCCCGAGCGGGCTGCTGCAGCTGCAAAAACCCCAGTCCGACTGGACCTAAAGCAGGAGGCCCGGCCAGGGCGGACGGGCCCACGGCCCACGGCCCACGGCCCACAGCCCGCCCGCCCGCCCGCGGAGCCGGCAGCGGGGAGGCCCCGGACACGGTGCCGACCAGGTCCGCCCTGGAGCGGGGGAGGAGCCGCGGCCCGGAAGGCCCCCGGGTCTCAGCCGGCAGCAGCGCGGAAGCGGGGCCCCAGCCGGCTCGCGGCCGCCACGCGGGACCGTGGGAGGCGGCCCGTGCGCACGAGCGGGCGCGGCGGCAAACCGCACAGGCCCGGCCCCCGGCCCCTCCCGCCCCGCGCCCGCCGCCCGCACCGCCGCTCGCACCGCCGCTGACCTCCATGCGTCCGGCGCCGTCCTCGACCCACGCGGCACGGCGCGCTCACTGACGTCACTCGGTGCGCCGCCGGAAGCGAGCTGGCCGCACGCCCCCCGGCCGGAAGTCACTCTGCGGCCCCTTCGGGCGGGACGCGGCGGAGGCTGCGTGCGCACCGCCCACGGCTGTCGGCTCACGCGCATGCGCGGCCCACGGCTCGAGGCTCCGGAGCCCGATCCGCCTGCGCACCGCGGTCCGCCTGCTGCTGCGCCCGGTGGGCGCGACCTCGCCGCCCGCCCGCAGGTGGCCTCGGTCGCTCGGCGGCGCGGGGCGCGGCTGCGTGGCCTCCGTCGTGCCCTCCTTCCGAGCTAGAGAGTGACATGCACCTCGTGGGAAACCGGGGACACGTTAGGGAGCCGCGAGGAGGAGCCCAGGAGTCAGGCACGACCCAGGCGCCGCGTGCCGCCGAGGCAGGCGCACGTGGGGGCTTTGTCCCGGTGCGCACGGGCTGCGCCCTGCGGCCTGCTGTTCTCGGGGCTGCGGTCGCCTGGCCGAGCCCCTCGCGGCTTCCGTGAAGCGCTGGCCGGTGCTGGCGACGGCCCGTCCCCGTCGGGCCACCACGTTGTCGCCGCGTCCTCAGCTTCTGGAGGCGCTTACTGCAGCCCGGGGTCGAGGGCGCGGGTGGGGGCCGGGAGGGCACGAGCCCTGGGGAGCGAGAGGGTGGCCGGAGGAGCTGCAGGGCAGTTGCATGGCCGCCCTCAGCCCCGAGGGCTAAACGGAGAGACAGAGGTTCCAGGAATGAAGACCCCCTGGGGTTCCTGGGCCTGGGAAGTGTTTGTTGGCCCCACTGGCCTGGCTTCAACCCATCTTCTAACAGTATCTGCAGGCCTGCCCACACCCCACAGCTCCCTGCACCAGGACGGATGGGGAAACTGAGGCCCAGCTCTGCTCACCCGGGCCATGGGGTATATAGTGGGCTGAGCACAGGGTGTCTGCTCAACCTATGACGTCAGCTGGTCAGGGCCCCCTCCAAACTCGGAGTCGAGGCCAGATCAGGGAGACCACGGCCCTCTACACACTCACCTGTCTCTGTGGGACCGTCATGGCCTTTGGGTGGTGGTCCAGTCCCTGTCATTGGGTGTCAGGGCCTGTGGGTGGGGTTCTGTTTCTATTATTGGATGTCAGGGCTCCTGGGTGTGGGGAGGTCAGAGGCCCTGCCCCTTGGGTTCCTAGGGGGTCCACTGGATTGGTTGGACGTCCGGGGTGACAGGTGGGCTGCAGGGGCTGCTGGGTGGTCCTGGTGCTGAGGAAGTTGTGGACAGCTGAGGTCCCCATTTAGGTCCTTATAGGTCATCCACCCATCTGGGGTTAGTGGTCTGGGTCTGGGCAGGGATGGGGGTGGATGGACATGGGCCCTTGGCTGGGTGTGCACAGGCTCTTTAAGGGGCCAGGTCAGTCCAAGCACCTCTGGTCTTGCACTCGCTGGTCTCATCATTGGAAGGTGTGTTCTGCTCCGGTATGGATCCTACTGGCCCAGGACATGCCTTCTTCGTATCAGTGTTCACTGTTTGAGCATCTGTTACAGAGCACAGAGGACAGATTGTTATGGTACCTTCTGGAAGCACCCATCGGTGTCCCACGTCCCGGACCACCCGGCTTTCGGGAACACGGCACACTGAGGAAACACGGGGCTCAGTGGTCACACCGTCCTGGGCTTCTGTCAGGGTGTGTCCCTGCAGCTTCAGGCCATAAGCTAGTTTGCAGGGAGTTTAAAAAATGTCCCATGTGAATTCTGGCTGGTTTGGCTCAGTGGTTGGAGTGTCGGCCTGAGGACCGAAGGGTCCTCATGTTCAGTTCCTGGTGAGGGGCACGTATCTGGGAGGCAGGTTTCATCCCCGGCCCTGGTTGGGGTCATGAGGGAGACAGCCAATTGATGTGTCTCTTTCACATCTATGTTTCTCTCTCCCACCCTCCCTTCCATCTCTCTAAAAATAAATGGAAAGATATCCTCTGGTGAGGATTAACAACAACAACAAAAAGTGTCCCATGTTGCCCTGGCCGGTTTGGCTCAGCGGTTGGAGCGTCGGCCTGCGGTACAGAGAGACCCGGGTTCGGTTCCCGCTAAGGGCACGTACCTCGGTTGCAGTTTGTCCCCGGCCCTGGTTGGTCGTGCGGGTGGCAGCCACTCGATGTGTCCCTTCACATCGATGTTTCTCTCTCTCTCTCTTCCTTCCACTCTATCTGAACAAAAAATGGAAAAATGTCCTCGGGTGAGGATAAAAAAAAAAAAAAGTGTCCCATGTTGATAAAAGACAAGAGTAGCTAACCTGTCCGTGCCACGTTTTATGTGCTATGCTGTAGAAATGTGTTGTTTTCAATTGTCAGAAAACATTGCCAAGTGCCTTTGTGCTGTGTGAAGGGACACAGATGAAGTGCTGGCTGGTTACACAGCTTGTGAGAGCCAGAGCCAGACCTCGGACCCAGGTCTCAGGCTGCTCACGACCTGAGAATGCTGGAGAGACTCACCTGAAGTCAGTGTTTGGCCCTGGACAGATGAGTCTTTACTTACCTGTTCCCTGTCATATTGGGACAAAAATGATCAGTCCTTGAGCGCCAGTGCACTAGAGGCTCCTGGCATATTTAATCTCGTTTCATGAAGAGATGGTCCCCGAAGCACAAGCACAGGGATCAAGAGAAGCTGAAGGACCACCTGTGCTAGGCTGCTGGCCGCCTCCAGGTGGGGACCGTCTCCTTCTGTATCCTCCGAATCCCCAGATCTGACGGAGGGCTTGTCCCCTGCCCCTTGGGGGTCCAAGCCCAGCACGGTGTAAACGCAGTTGGCACCAGGAGCCCACACAGGCGGTGCTCACAGTTGCCAGCTCCCTTTGACTTGTGAGAGAAGGACACAGATGCAGAGAGCTCAGGACACACATTTGTTCCATGAAAACCTGGCCCCTATTTAGCATGTGGCTGGATGTGGTTGCCAGGGGTGGGCCAGGCAGGCTGCCCCCCCTCCATCAGCCACAAAACACAGCTGCCGGTGCACCACCCAAATCTCGCTGTGCTCTGGTCCCTGCCTTCCAATGGCCCTGCCGTGACGGTGGCATCCCGAGAGCGGGCGAGTCCTTCCCGCAGCGGGTGCCCCTGCCCTCAGAAGTCTTTCCTTTCCCCTTTTCTGGGTTTAACTGACCAGACACGGATTCTGAGCAGGGTCGAGGGAAGAGCAGAGAGGGGCTGCCGAGCACGAGGACCGGCTTCATCCCGAGACCCGGAGGCCGTGTGGAGTGCGTGTGTCTGGGTGTGCACTGGTGTGTTGTGTGCATGGGCGGGGGCGCAGGGGCTCGTCCTGTGGCTGGGGTGGTCCAGTGGGGACAGTGTCAGTTTGGGGAGACGGGAAGTTCTGGGGACGGTGGTGCTGATGGCAGAACAACGTGGATGTTGATACCACCGGGCTGCACACTCAACAGGGGCTAAGGAGGTCAATTTTAAGTTATGTGCATTTTGTAATAATTATAATGACAATAATGTGGCCTTGAGAGTTGACTCCCTGGTCCGGGTCGGCCCAGGGCCCATTCCACGCTGGTCACCGAGGATGAAGGACAATGGCCACTGCCTGCCAGCAGGGGGAGCCACACGCCCGCACGTCCGCTGGCTGCCGGCCTGAAGGCTTCGCTGCGGGGTCCCCGGGGCGCCCCTGAGCACTGCTGGTGGACGGATCCTGTGCTCGCAGGCCCTCCCCTTAAGGAAGAGGCTACTTCACTGTCGAGAAAATATTCTTTTAAAACGACTTTAAGAAAAGTTGCCAAACAAACACCATGGTAAGACTGTCTTTCGGGGCTGGATCAGGAGAGGAAGCCCCGCAGTAACTGACACGGGAGAGGTTGATGCAGAGAACTGTGAACGGAAAGGGGGTGGGGGCTGCAAAGGGCCAGGGAACCTGGGGGGCTGCACCCGCAGAAGGCGCAGGCCCCGGCCAGGGGCTGCCTGGGTGCATGCACTGGGGTTCGAAGTGACCGTCCAGTCCCTGGTGAGAGAGCACAGGTGCAAGGATAGCAGCTGGTCTCAGGCCACCCCCGTGGGATCCAGCAGCGGGGCCCTGTGCCCTCCTCTGGGCCATGGGGGGCTCTCCCCACCCCCGTGATACCCGTCGGAGCTGGTCTTTGGGTGGCATCTGGCAGCCAGGCCACCACAGGGAGCAGAAGCAGTGGCGCTCACCTGCGCCGTCCTCTGGAAGGGGCTCCCCAGCGGCTCCATCCTTGGTGGTTTGGAGCCCTTCCTCAGCCCTCCGTTCTCCCGGGAGTGACTGCATCGTGCAGATGTGCGTCCAGTGGCCGGTGCGGCGCCTCCTACGCTGCCGTCTGGGACCCCTCAGGCATCGTTCTCTCTTTCCTTTTCTTGATTGATTTGAGGGAGAAAGAGAGAGAGAGAGAAACGTTGATGTGAGAGAGAAACATCGATTGGTGGCCTCCCGTATGTGCCCTGTCTGGGAATCGAATCCGCCACCTTTGCTCCAACCCACGGAGCCACACCGGCCAGGGCTCGGTTATCTTTTATCAAGGCGTCGGGACCTTACACGCGTCCTTACCGTGTGTCATGCCGACCGTTCCTGGGGCAGGTGACCACCGGCCGCGATTCTCCCGTTTGCGTTTCTCATGGTGCAGACTGCTGGAGACCTTTTTCTGACGGAAAAGTGTTTCTTTCACCTTCATTTTGGAAAGATATTCTCTTTGGGTAAACAATCCTAGGTTGACTGGTGTCTTTCGTCAGACGTCAGCGCGGTCCCCTCACTGTCTTCAGGCGTGAGATAGGTCTCTTTCGTACCCCCTCCTCTCTCGGTGTGTGTCTTGTTTCTCCAGCTGCTTCGACGATTTTCCCTTTCTCGGCAGTTTTGGGTGATATCAGATGCACGACTTGATGTGTTCATCATCATTCTTGTGAGCGGGTTACCTGGTGGGTCCACACCTGGAATAACCGGTCCGGATGGTCATGGGGGATGCGTTTCAGATAGACTGGATGGTGGTGAGAGGATTTGGGAGATGACTCTGGGCAGGCTGTCT